CCCAAAACCCCATGAATCTTAAATGTGGGAATAAACATGAATTTGTAAATTTAATTGTTTCTAAATGTTTAAATATAATCTCAACCTCTTTTGAACATATTGAGATTGAAAACGACAGATTCAACACATTCTCTCGACTGTTGAGCAACTAGCTGGTAATTCTTTCAATATTTTTGTGGGTCAGAGAAAGAATTTAGCTAGAGGTATGAGCTCTCTGGTAGCTTGTATTTTGGTTGATTCTCTTCAAATTCACTGAGTAAATGTTCCTCTTGGCCGAGTTCACTCATCTTAACATGAGCTAGGGCGTAGTGCTCAAAGAATAGATTTTAATCTTAGGCATAAGCCTCGCAAAGTTTCTTCATCTCAGAATTTTGAGCAAGCATGTGCTCTACAGGAGTCTTGAGGAACTTAGATCTTTCTCCAAGTAGCACTTCCTTATAGTAAGTGTTATCGAAGACATGGGGATTTTGAGTCCATCTGCCTTGGAAGCCAGTTCTATCTTGATGAGCGAAACCAAGAGTGTGGGATCCCATCAAGGCAACAAATTCTTATGTTGTGAAACCCATTCTATGCATCTTAGTAAGAATATTGCTGCTTCCTTCTCTGACATCTGGAAGTCTATCCTCTGGAGTGTGCTCATCATGATCTTCAGCATCTTTTCTACCCATTCTGAATAGCATAACTGGACCTCCAGTATACTCAACTGCTGTGTAACCACCTAATTAGATCAAGTCTGAATATGAAAGCATAGCAGTGATATGGTTTCCTTCATCCTTGATTTCCTCAATTTAGTCCATCGCAAAATCAAGTCCAGCGTTTTCAGGTCTATCCAAATCGTGACTATGTCTTAAAGTACCTCTAGGTCCCCTATCAAAGTTATTAGATATGGAATTATGAGTACCCAGTTTTTGAGTTTTTACAGAAAGTACCAGCATCATGGAAGGCTGCTCTGAGCATAAGAGCCATGCATGGTGATCTATAGAATAAATCAAAGAATGGCTTCTTTGCGATGTGATTAATATTCATTTTTTCTTTGATAATATATTATAAGTTTATTATAATTATTGAGATGTATAAAATTCAGTCACAGGGGTTTTGGGGTTTTGGGGTTTTGGGG